TTCTCCTTCTTGGTTACTTCGTTAGTCTTATCTAGGATTGATTATTGTAACTCGCTCTACTATGGTCTTCCTGACTCTATACTCTATCCTTTAAGTAAAGCTTTTAACTCTGCTGCTCGTCTAGTTGCTCGTGCCCCTTTCTTTTCTCATATATCTCCATATCTTGTTCTCTTGCACTGGCTACCTATAAAATATAGAATAATTTTTAAAATTTGCACGTTCATGTATAAGTCTCAATCTAAATTATTTCCTAAGTACTTATCAGATATATTAATTGAACCTAAACGCCCCGGTTTACGATCGTCTTCTTCTTCTCGCTTTTTCTTAACTCGTGTTAAACACTCTTTTGCCAAATCTGCTTTTGCTTTTTCTGGTCCTTTTCTCTGGAACTCTCTGCCTACTTCTCTAACTATTTCTCCATCGCTTGCGAAGTTCAGAGCGGATCTCAAGACCCATCTGTTTTCAAAATTCATTGAGGAGCGCTGTTGAACATCGCGGAAATAGCGCTTTATAAGCTAATTGATTGATTGATCGATTGAAACTAAATTAATACTTATCTACGTTCGTAAAGTTGGAAAACCGAGAGTTCCTTCTTTTTTAGGGATGTCCCTATACATATGATATTATATGATGTTATAAATAATTTTTCCAATTCTACCTGTTATGGAGATGACTTTATTTGAAATTTCATTCTAAAATCTACTTTAAATAATATATATATTCTTTTTCTTCACTTAATTGATTTGTCTTTTAAATATGGTAAATTTCCTAATTGTCTTAAAATAACTAAAGTTATTCCACTTTTTAAAATCAGGTGATTCTCATGACATGAATAACTATCGTCCAATTTCAATTATTTCTTCTATCTCAAAAATGATTGAAAAAGTTGTCATTTTAAGGCTTTCAATATTTTTAAATTTTTCTAATATTTTAACTCTTGAAATTGTAAACTTGATGGTATAGCTGATTTCACAGAGATACATGATCCAGATGAATTAACCCATAATAGAAATAAATTATCAGAATATCTCAACTTAAAAGTTAAAAAAGATACTGACTAAGTTACATTTTGGAAAGAAAAAAACTTGCCTATCCTTTACTTTATGACGTAGCTTGTCAAATTTTATGCATACCAGCAACTTCATCTGCTAGTGAACGTGTCTTCAGCATTGCAGGTCGAATATTGGAGAAAAGAACTACATTATTAGCAAACAGCGTTAATAATTTGTTATTTTTACATAGCAACATTTAATTGTTTAGTTATAACTTGGTTCTTAATAAAAAATTTTGACTGCTTATTTTGTCTTGTGTACATTTTTATAAGAAAA